GCCGAACCACAGAAAGCAGCGAGGGAAGGGAAACCAGCAGCCTTGACTTGTCCAATGCACGACAAGGCTAAAAGAGGAGGTGTGGGCAGGAAAAAGAGAAAAAGCCAAGCCAAGGTGCATCTCTTGATCTAACAGGTGGGCAAGTTTGGGGTCTTAGATGACAACGCTTGGGGGCCGCACAGCCTCCCCCAAAAGTAGGTGGGGTCAGAACCAAGAAGGGGGTAGAAGCCAAATCAACCTCTTCAATTTACATTGAATGAAAATAATACTATATTAAGGAAAAATGTTTTAATGGGAATATTCCCCCATAGGTACTCCTCTTCCCTACCATACTAAAAATTACTCTTTGGGGACAAAGTTCGGGGAGGCCGTGGAGCAACATCCAAGGCTCTTAGGAGCTCCTGCGGTCTCAGGACTTTGCACCAGGCCCTGTGCGTTTTAACACACCCACCGCAGCCCAAGTCTATCCATCAGTGCCAAAGCACACAATGATGTCCTTGCCAGCCAAGAAAGGGGGGTTGGTTTGCTCTTGGCAGGAGGGACGGTGTAGCAAAAGTGACTCTGAGCCATGCTTCTGTATCACCAGGGGCACAATTATGCGTTCGTGGCACTGGAGGGTGAGCGTTCTTAAAGAAATCCCTCTGGCATCATTACCTAGAGGTCATGGCAAGGTCTCCCTAAGACTCACCCTGGCACAGTTGCCCGGGGGGCAGGGGGTTGGTTCCTTTAAGCAGATGATAGGAGCCCTTATCTCAATCTTGCGGGAGGCATGCTCCGGCATGAGATGGGAAGTCTTTGCATTCTTTAAAAAGTGTTCACCTGCTGCTGCAGGAGACAATAAAACTAACCCTGGAACAGAATTCCACCAAGGAATTCTGCAATTGAGAAAACCACCTTTTAATATTAACGGGATAAGAAGCAACATCTCGCAGACCAGTCACTGATTTGGCCCGTGCCTCATGCTAAGTCATGGTTTGTTTGATCCTAGTTTACTGAATAATTTGCAATGGCTGGATTCACACACGATCAGCAACAAACCTTGACTGACAAATCGCATAAGCAGGATGGCTCAGTGCCTTCGCGTGAAGCGGACCTTAACAGTTGCAACAGATTCATAAGCAGCAGACAGCACGCTCGCTTACGTTCAGAGGGCCAGGGGTCTTATTCCCAGGTAAATGGGTCAAGTAAGTGGGCCTTATTCCCAGAGACATGCCATTTACAGCCTGAGAGCCATTAGCAGACCTTTAGGCAGCCCCTCCAGTGAGGGAAGGGGGGGCAACAGCAAGGGAAAATAATGAAAAAAAAAGCATTAAAATTAAATATTGTTAATACAATGACATGCTCAGCTCTTCTTTGGGGGTCAGTTATCGGGGATGTCCACGGGGTGGGGTGTCAAAAACGTCGGCTTGGTTCACATGGTTCTGGCCGCATTCTTGACTTTTTGACCTCCGCTTTGCAGAGGAGTCGCATTCTTACTGGGGGGGGGGGTTGCAATTTATGGCCAGTTGCCCTTACTGTTATCATTTTTCCATAGAGATATCTGTGAGTCATCTATTACTCCTTGTAATATCTGTTTGCTGCCCGCCAGAGGTAGAACCCAAACTCCTTTCTCCTTTGCTGATTTCTCTTTGTGGGTTTCTTTTTCTTGAAGCAAAAGCTTTGATTTGACCCTTGATTTCCTTGTAACCTAGCGCAGAAAACACAGGTGCCCAGAAAACAGCCCATTTGCCACCCCTGATTAAAAATGAATGAATGAATGAATGAATGAATGAACGAATGAATGAATGACAAATCAAGCCATCAAGGGCCCCACCATCAGTGCATGGGGAAGAGCCTGGCTGCATTATGAATTGAAGCTGGCTGCTAAGGCCTCCACAGCTTGCATCTGCCCTCCCATGAAGAGCGAAGCAAGAGAGAAAACCCCTCTTTCCACCCCCAACCTGCTGCTGCCTTCCTGAAAATCATTCTGGATCATTTGTCCCACCTTCCTCTGCAAAGAAAACCCTGGGAATTGCTCGCTAAGTAGCAAGCCAAAGATAAAGGAGTCCAAGATTATTTTTCCCACCTGTGTGACTTGCCTAGAGGAACCATTCTGGATACCTGACACCTGTTTCCCTTCCCTACCAGGTGGGCGACAGCATGTTCCTGGAAGCACCTCTGCTTGCCGGCATTCAGGCCATCCCACTGGGAGAATGGAGTTTGTCCAGCTTGCTGGCCTGTTCTCAGCAGACTGTCCATTCAGGAAAAAGGAGGGCGAAGACAAGAGATCAACCTGGCCTCTGCGGCCATGGAACATTTATAATGCGGACACGCAAGATCAAAACTTCTGGCATGCGAGACAGAGTGTTTATGACAGCACAAGCCTTTGAATCCACTGGGATTTATGCCCCTGGGAAGCCTGCACTGGATTGCACCCCCAGGGGTGCAATTAGGGTGGGGGCTTGGGGCCAAAGTCTAGGACCCGGTGGCCCAGGGAGGTTTCAGATGACCACCTGCAAGAGCAGATGATCAACTGGGTCAAAAGAGGCCCAGCGTCTGCAACTGGGCACGCTGGGGCTTGGCTGGAGCTCGGTCAGCCTCAGGGGGAAGATTACGGGTTGATTTGATTGGATTGATCATTTGTTCGTTCATTCATTTTTAATTGGGGGTGGCAAATGGGCTGTTTTCTCTGCACGGGTGTTTTCTGCAATGAGATACAAGGAAATCAAGGGTCTAAAACAGTGTTTCTCAACCTTGGCAACTTGAAGATGGGTGGACTTCAATTCCCAGAATTCCCC